TTTCTAACTCAACATACAGTGGGAAGTAGTCAACAATATACTCGTCATAGTTAGCCACTATGCTGCTTCACCTAATGGACAGGTAAGCATTCCCCTCTTCCAGAACTGAGGAGGCTGGGAGTCAAGTAAGTCGGCGGCCTCTCGACTGATGTCATCAAAGTTGCTGAAAGTTTTCTTTAAGGAGGAGGAGCAGGTAGCAGTCGTAGGGGACTACGTCAGGAGAATATGATGAGCGGGATTGGTCTCCCAGCCTTGCTCCTCAATTATTTGGTAGGTCTCCATAGCAGGTATGGGGTCTCGCGTACTACGAACGAGGTGCCCGAAGCTAGTCTCGGTCATTTTTCTCCAACAATTTCCACTCATTTCAGGAGCTGAGCGACACAAATGGTAGCGGTGACCGTCTGTTCTTACAGGGCAGCTCGTTCTGCAGCATCCCCCTCGCGTCCCAGGAGCAGCACAGGAGAACCTTTTCGGAATACATGCCCGGTTTGGACTGCTAGAATGGATCTTCTCCTTGAGAGAGACAAACGGTACTGTGTGGGTTGAAATCATAGAGGACCCATCTCTCATCTCCACTAAGGCAGTCTCCTAGAAACTCCTTCTGACGAAGAAGAAGTTTCTAGGAGACTGAAGAGAGAAGAGGAGAAGGGGAGTTTGAAATACTAGAATGGATCTTCCCCTATAGAAAGACACACTGTACTGTGTGTCTGACGAAGAAGAAGTCTACCGGAAGATTGAAGAGGGCGGAGAAGGGGAGACTGACCAAGGGGTACCCGGGTGCACAGCGTGCCATCGGTCAAGGTATGAGTGATCCATCGAGCCAGTACTTTTTGGTAGTCAAGGGCTTACAGGCGGTGGACGACTGTCGGTACATCCGAGTCTTGTCGCAAGACTGCGGGTGGTAGCCTCTGGATCCTCCTTGACTGCTTCGAGAATGGTGGATACCAAGTTTGTCTGCGTGGATCGTGTCTCCTTTCGCGAAGCGAGCGAACCAGAGGTGGACAGTCCTGATGGTAGCGGTGTCCTCCGGCAATACAGAGTTGACAGCTGCGTGGCTCCAGTGCTGCGGGCCACCGATACATGATGATGACCCGTATATGCTCTTTCTCCTTTTGGCAGCGATTCCCGGGTGTCGTCTCCCGACTCCGCGCTACCACGCAGTCAACCACAGTGAAGGAATTTCCCTTGACATCGACGCAATCGCTACACATTGTGGGCAGTGCCGGTGGAGAGGAGACCCCGCTATCACTACCCTCCGGCCCCGTCCTCTACTTTTTAACCAGATAAAGTGGCACCTCTACTGCAGGTGTGGACCGATTTGTCTCGCTCATAGTAAGATTCGTAAGGACCAAAATCCACGTGACTATACGGCTCATCTAGGAACCAGCTGAGAGAGGACGATGTGAGTCCATACCATCAGGTAGGGTTATCCGTTGTGCCCTTGGGAGATTTTCATGAGAATAAAGAAAAATACCTCCAGTTGTCGCCTTTTTTGATGTAATCATGTGGTATAAAAACAGATAACAACGCAACTGCAGTCGCAGTTAACCACAATGCCACTGCAATTACCTTAAATACGACATCTGGTTGGGCGTAACTTCTTGTGCCACTTCTATAGAACATCTTTGATTATAGAAGCGTACCCAGTTCAATCTAGGCTTTCTGCCTCTCAGTCGAGCGAGAACATAGCCAACACCCAGTCCGATGAGATAAGGTGTGCAGCGCACCCATGGCATTTCGTAAAACTCGTCGAAGAATAGACCTGTTCTCCTGAAATGATTGTATCAGTTTGCTTCAGACAGAAATGGAAGAAACACCCTCACGCAAAAATTGTTTCCACGAGTTCAGAAGCAGGCAGATTATCGCGGAACGTGATCACGTAGGTATACGCAACGCTTGCTGCACAGCACAGGACCAGGAGGGCAGCCCCTAAAAAGGATTGGCTGCGATTTGTGGTAAATGTTCAAGGCTTTGTATAAGGAAATCAGGGTACAGAATCAGAGTGGAAGAAATGGCACTGGCAGACGCCCCGTTCCTTCCTTCTATGACAACCCCTCCTTCCATCCACGCAACACCTTGCTATGTTTTACCAACTTCCTATCCCGTTTTTCAGTTTTTCAAAGAATCTCCCAATTTCACCCTGTAAAACTGGCGTCGACGGTGATGGTTAGGGAGGGGAGGGGAGAGGGAGGAATATTGTTACTAACTAATAGTCAGAAAAATATCCCTGACATTGGAGCAATCAAATGGAAACTGGCTATACCTATGAGAGGCGATATATACAAGGCCATTAAGAATACTGGAGCGACCACATAGAGTTGCGTATCAACGGCAAGATACCACGAGATTCCATAGCACTCCTGAAGAAATCGTCTACAAATGTTCTGAGGATAAAGGTTGAAGCATTCTATGTTGATCAATCTCCTTCTGGGATGCGACACGTATTCCCGTTCCCGTCTGGGTCGCGTTCAGAATCGTAGTGAAACATTGAATACGATATGGCCGCAATCGAAGCTTCTTCCTCGTTTTTCATCACTCTAGTGATTTCGGCTAGTAACGAAAACCCATGGCGGCTAGATGGCGTGACCGGGAGACTTGCTACGCCGCCCACCTGGAGCTTTACGCGAAGATCTCCGAAGTAAAAGTCAAAACTGTTGGGGGCGGTGCCCGTCATGAGCATGTCAAATTGGAGGAAGGTCTGCCCTCATAAGGATCGCACTTGGTTGTTTCAAAATCGACGAATATGCTAGCTGTATCGTTTTGAAATATATCCTTTCAAATATGAAAATACCTACAGTCTCGTGGCCAAAGAGGTTGTTGATGTATAGCATATTCCGCCACCAGTACTTCTGGCACACTTCCACAGCGTCTTCTTCCATGCCAAATCCTTTGGGAACGGAAATCATCCAAGGTCCGTTCGTTAATGGAAACAGCACAGTGAAGAACCATATAAACAACATCATTGGAGGTGTAAGCCTGGAAATCATGTTTTTACGTATTATTTACCTGCAACTTATTTAATTGAATAATGCTTGCCCCCTCTAAGCCGAACAACACCAGGCAATGCTTTGCCTACTACGCCGTTAATCAAGTAGAAGAACTGACCTCAAGTATCGATGAACATAAAATAGTATCCAAGTGAA